TTTCTTAATGCCAAGGAACCTGACCTTGATGTCTTGGTCCCACCCGGGTTGCCTAGGAGATACGTCACCAGCAACCACCAAGGTGTGTTCCAATGTTCATGTTCGACTGAGACGTGTGTTCACCATTTGTTAGCCGTTTAGCTAGCTGAGCAAGGATACACGGAAGTTGTCTTGTGGCCTAGCCTTGGTCAAAAATTCACTGTCATTTCACTCCAACAATCCAAATGGCTGTGTACATGCACATCAATTAGACTGATGATCGAACAAAACCAACTCTCAATCGCAATGAAATTTCATTTGGGCTGAATTGGATCAGAATATTCCGTATGACATGTTTACATGCAGAATGTTTGATCTGATTGGGCCTTCAAACCGTTTACTTGTGCCCATGTAAATGTGGCTACTGATGGAAATTGTGTATGTTCTGTTATACCAGGTAGGCTCATGTATGAATGTTCTAGAAGAAAAATGTATTTGCTCCAAGTGTTGTTAGCAACTTTTGGTTATCCACTATAATAATCAGTTTTTTTAAATGTAAATTGTGGAACAAAATGAAATGAAATCAAAGATACTTTATTAATCCCAGAGGGAAATTCGAGTTCCAGTACACACAATTCAGAGATCAGACATACATGGGCAAGACACATGACAAGAATTGGTGACTGTGGTCATTCGCAACCCTGAGTCATCTCGACAATTATGTGAGTCTGTGAATTCACAGTGCGGTGCAATCCATCTCTGAGCTCAGGGATCAGGCCAATATTCCTCGACAGCTCGTTAATTTTCCGGTAAGCCAGGTAGCCTCCAATGCCGATCAGCAGGAAACCTGACACCAACACCACGGATATCCACACGTCTTCAGAGTCCTCCACAGACAGCTGAGATAAACAAATCAAGTTCCATTGTTTCTAGGAGTCCATGATGTGTCCAACACGGTGTGCCCCAGAAGGGCATCGGGGAGCTCCTTCTCCCGTTCTCATCGGTGAAACAATTTTATCAATCGTGTTGAGTGACCAACTGACGAGATCCATTTTAGTGATTTAAGTTTCCAGTTTCCAGAAAAAATGCAGAAGCAGCCGTGCACCCAGCACACAGAGACAGACAAAGGCCTTGAGGATAAGTGTTGTACTCGTGCCAGCGGGTGCATCTCTCCGTCTCTGGTCGGTCGCTCCCGACGCCTCAGCCTCAGCAGGAGTGGACATCCTCTTCTACTCACACTGGAAGCTGCCGTTTAACTTAAACTAAGTTAGTGAAATAATGACACGACTTTACAGAACACGTGCACCTGTCCTCAACTCTCCCAGTGCATGAACAAGCTCACAGCGCCCCGCGACGCCACCTGCAGCCTCACACATGCGCACACAGAGGGGAGGAGGAACCCGCACTTCCCTTTTTATTGAAGGACTCTAACTCCACCCACATAGACATTGGTAGTGATAGACATCGCACTACAACACCCCCACTCGATGACATCACAATAACATTTATGTCTGCTTTCTTGTTTCCTCACATTCCAAACAAAAACTTGCAGAAACATTCCAGTTTAACCTTTGTAGCAGATTTTGTGAACCCATCTGCTATCATGTTTTCTGTTGAACAATAAACAAGGACCATATTACCACGTGACACGTTGTCCCTCACAAAATCGTACTTAATGTCCACGTGTTTGCTTCTCTGACGGTTTGTTGGATTCTTTGCCAAGCTTATTGTTCCTTGGTTGTCCTCGAAGATTTTAACTGGACCATTTTTAACATGTAGTCCCATGTCCGTGAGCAGGCTTCTGAGATACAGGGCTTCTTGAACTGCTGCTGCTAGAGCCATGTACTCTGCCTCGCATGTCGACAGCGCAACAGTCTGGTGCTTCTTAGTCTTCCAAGAAACCACAGTGCCATCTTCCTGTAGACTGAAGCAGTAACCTGTAACACTCTTTCTGTCCCCTGGATCGTTTGCCCAGTCTGCATCAGAAAATCCAAACAGTTCTAAAGTGTTCTCAGTCTTTTTGTAACATAACGGGTAATGTTGTGTCTTATATACTTTAGACAGTAGTTTGGGGGGTTTGAGATTATAGAAGTCTAATACCCTTGGTGGTGTTTGTAATTCTATTTTATTGAGCTTAAATTTTTGTTTGACTACAGATTTAATTAGGTGATATTCTAAAAAGCTATTCTTATCCATTCCAAATTGGGAGACTATTCTATTAAATGGGATGAAGTCCAATCCTTCATATATGTGTTCCAGGTATAGGATTCCTTTATTTTTCCAGTCCGGAAGGTTCATCATTTTGTTATTTTGCAAAATATCAGGATTATTCCAGATAGGTGTGCGTCTGCATGGTACTAGTGAAGACTCTGTCATTTTAAGATACTCCCACCATGCTGTCAGAGAGGTGCTGATACTAATACTTTTGAAGCCTTCATGTTTTCTATGCTTGAGCTAATATAATGGTTAGTCTGAAAGCTCTATCGTATTGCAAAGGTGTCTGTTCTATATCTAACCAGGA